CTTCAACCTATGTCATATGAGAAGCCAGAGTAACGTTCGTTTTCAATATTAGAGAAGAGTGGAAGGTATACCATCCTGTGAAGTGAGCGCTTGGTTTTTTACCCATGTCAGTATGAATAAAGTTTTTACTGATCAATGTGAAATGCGTTTTTTGTAAATTCATTGCAGTTGTAAAAGGCATGAAATTTACGCCATAAATGTAGGTGATTAATTAATATGTCTGTACCTACATTAGGATTTAAAATATTATCTTATTGAAAACCAACATTTACAATCTGTTCAATAGTTCAAAGCGACCAAATGCAACACGTAAGTTCACGTTAGATTTCTATCAGTTAAGCTCTTTTCCAGCGCCTTCCTCCGTCTCAGGAAATGCTTCAAAAGTTCGCTGATAAAATGTTTTGCCCATGGGCCGAAGCCACGGACGTATAAATAAACTGGACTGACAATCCCAATGGACCTCCTATGGAAGATAGTGAAGCCGACAAGGCGCCATTTTACGTTGCCAAAAAACCGTGCTCTGGAAGGTCATCGAGCCAATACAATTGGAATTGCGTCTAAACGGATGATCGGATCGAGATGCTGGTGGTACCGTTCGATGGGTAATTCCTTGAGGCATGTGATGATAGATGTCACATGACACCCGGTGTCACATGGCGCGTGCCACGTGCCGACAAACTTACAAAGGGCAAAAACCTTTAAGCGACGCCTCAAATCAAACGAAGGGCGGCACAGGTGCCAGACTCACAGGTCACATGTCCCAGTGTTCGACCACTAACATATGGTATGCTCGGCATCAGGGGGTGCGGAATGCACGCGCTAGTGGCGAAAAACATGTTTTGAGGCGGCATCCTCCGATTCCGGAAAACCTTGACCTAGGCACACCAAATTTGGCACACTGACACTACTGGACAGTGGACACGCGCTTTAAGGTGCTGTACAAATAGGCGTGCTGGGGTACACGGTGCACGTGCTGTGCACGTGCAAACCTTTTGATGTTGCACTCCAGGTGTCACATATGCGGGTAGGGCGGGTAGCGCTGGCAAGCTCAAAGTGCCAAATTTACACAGGCCACCCAGAATGTATTCCAGCATAGTTATTGAGCATATCCATCTACTGGTGGCCCCCAAAGGTGCGCTCTGCACGTGCAAAAAATTATCCGCGCCGGGCGGTGGGGATGATTGGACACCTTATGTGGATTTATGTAAATATCTCGAAAACGGCGTTGTGTAGCGCCGCCGTTTTCGGCACACCTTTTCATACATCTTTTTCACAAGTGCTGCATAACTTTCAGACTTAGGTCGCTCAAGGTTAGGTCACCAGGTTACGTCCAAGTGGCCTTACCTTAGGAAAAATTATAATGCTCGTCATAGCTAGGTACACAGACTATACAATCGGCTTAAAACGTGCAGCAATTGATAAGATCAACAGTACATATATATTATATACGTAGAGCACCTACCTCTACCTCGAAATTTCAATATCACTGACCTAGGGTTCTGTTGATTTTGCGACCTCAGACCACCAGCACGGCAAATCATTTATTTTGCCAAATTCGGGCTCCTAAACTTTTTGCTACTCAGCAACGCAAATTTACGCCTCAATCGCCGGCCAGCGCAGCATAGGCATCTTTGTTATCTACGTTGTTTGCGCCTGCAGTAATACTGTACCGCAATAACCATTATCTTCATCTTTCACCCATAGATGGCAGTAGCAAAGCGCCTGCATCTATGCTGTGCCGCAGTGCTCCTACAATACGAGCTGAGCAATGAGCATTGAGCAAGCAAGTGATATTGAAATCATTAGCGGCGGAACGAGGGGGGCACCGGGGCACCGTGCCCCCTTTTGATTTTGGCATTTTAACATAGCCCTTTCCATGCAACGCCCATAGGGCGTTGCATGGAAAGAATGGGACCAAAAGTCGGCAGTGCCCCCCTTTAATTGAAGGTGTTCTGCCGCCACTGATTGAAATTCCGAGGTAGAGGTACTCTACGTATATACTGTTGCTCTTATCAATCGCTGCACGTTTTAAACCGATTGTTCAGTCTGTGTACCTATGACGGGAACTATAACTTTTCCTAAGGTAATGTCACTTGGACGTAACCTGATGACCTAACCTTGAGTGACATAAGTCTGAAAGTTACGCAGCATGTGTGAAAAAGATGTATGAAAAGGTGTGCAAAAAACGGCGGCGCTACACAACGCCGTTTTCGAGATATTTACATAAATCCTCATAGAGTGTCCAAGCATCCCACCGCCCGGCGCGGATAATTTTTTGCACGTGCAGAGCGCACCTTTGGGGGCCACCAGGAGATGGATATGCTCAATAACTATGCTGGAATGCATTCTGGGTGGCCTGTGTAAAATTTGGACTTTGAGCTTGCCAGCGCTACCCGCCCTACCCCCATATGTGACACCTGGAGTGCAACATCAAAAGGTTTGCACGTGCACAGCACGTGCACCGTGTACCCCAGCACGCCTATTTGTACAGCACCTTAAAGCGCGTGTCCAGTAGTGTCAGTGTGCCAAATTTGGTGTGCCTAGGTCAAGGTTTTCCGGAATCGGAGGATGCCTCCTCAAAACATGTTTTTCGCCACTGCCCACTAGCGCGTGCATTCCGCACCCCCTGATGCCGAGCATACCATATGTTAGTGGTCGAACACTGGGACATGTGACCTGTGAGTTTAGCACCTGTGCCGCCCTTCGTTTGATTTGAGGCGTCGCTTAAAGGTTTTTGCCCTTTGTAAGTTTGTCGGCACGTGGCACGCGCCATGTGACACCGGGTGACATGTGACATCCATCATCACCTGCCTCAAGAAATTACCCGTCGAACGGTACCACCAGCATCTCGATCCGATCATCCGTTTGGACGCAATTCTAATTGTATTGGCTCGATGACCTTCCAGAGCACGGTTTTTTGGCAACGTAAAATGGCGCCTTGTCGGCTTCACCTGAATGGAGGTGGTTGCGGGTCCAGTTTATTTATGTTACGGGTCATATGCTAACTTGAGCAGTATGCAAACTACCCGGGCAGTATGCATACTACCCAACAGCCCGGGCAGTATGCATACCGCCCGGGTAGTATGCATACTACCCGACCCCTTGGGCAGTATGCATACCGCCCGGGCAGTATGCATACCTCCCGGGTAGTATGCATACTACCCACGATTCTTCTCACGGGCAAGATGTTTACTCGGGCAGTATGTTGACCACACTTCGTGAGGCTTGCTAATGCAATAACTCGCGTATATATGTGAATGACAAATGTTTTAACCTTTCAGGTTCCACCTAAACCGTAAATAATGGTCTTATAACCAGCACCATTGAGTTGGAAAGGGAAAAAATTGTTCATAAATCATACATCGCACAACCCTAGTAGAGTTGGGTTCATGTGCTGACCCTTGGTGACCTAACCTGTGACCTGACCTGGTATTATCAGTGACATCCAATAGCAACATATGTACTAGGCAACTTACATCCTATCGCTGATTTTCGACAAAATGCGCCTTGGCCTCTGCCCCCCCCCCCCCCCCCGATGCCATACGCGCCACCTCTCTCAGTGAGAGAGGGTCGCCATCCGGAATGTTATCCAATCGGGAACAATTAAATGACAATGGGCGCCTCAGATGCCTTCGTTTGCTGAATTGGCCAAGGAACTGCGAGTGCAATTGTGTTCCGGAAGTGAGGTGACTTTTCAAAATTTACTTTGGTGAGTTTTCCTCAGAACTTGCAACGTCATGTAAATGATTTCATGCAGCACTAGGTATTGAAATCGTAATAACCAGGGCTGCGGAGTCGGAGTCGGAGTCGGAGTCGGAGTCGGAGTCGGTCGGAGTCGACAGTTTTACCCGGAGTCGGAGTCGGAAATGGAGTTGCCAAAATCTTACCGACTCCGACTCCCCAATCGGAGTTAACGCTGCATGGCTCAACGTCATGCCCTGCACCTGTTTGCTTGACGACACTACGCTCGTTGACCTTTAAAAATCAGACTTTGTTCAAAAAAGGCAAAATTCTTGTTTTGGACAAGCGTTTTCGGCGAGCGATACAGAAGATCGCCAAAGCATAGGTACTTTTAATTAATTCTGCATGTTATTTATAACGTGTATTTGCAATGCAAGGCCTTAGGTCTCAAAAAGATCGTGTCAGGCAAAATAAAAACATATCCACTTGGAACTTCATTTATCAAGACATGAATTTTTAGAGAAACATCGGGAGTCGGAGCTGGAGTCGGAGTCGGAGTCGGAGTCGATTTTTGAAGCTGGAGTCGTGAGTCGGAGGGAGTCACCCGAAAATCCATCGACTCCGCAGCCCTGCCCCTGGTAATAACGCCCTCATACGGTCAAGGTGCCAAACCTAAGCAACCAAATGAGCTGACACTATGTCGTCGTTTCATTTCACTCAGTTCACGCTTCATAATGACAATGACTTGTTGGCTTGTGGTTATTCAACAATGGATTTGGGAAAAAGTAATTTCAACACTTTATTCCAATCCTCATTCCATCCTACGATCGAGCAATCACGTTTGACGGCAAAAATTATTCTCGGTTGATCTATTGCCTAGAGAGCCATTTATATTCTTAATGTGGACATGGATTACACTCGGAAAGCGGGCAGTATGCAAACTGCCCAAGCTTTTGGGCGGTATGCATACTGCCCGGGCTGTTGGGTAGTATGCATACTGCCCGGGTAGTTTGCATACTGCCCAAGTTAGCATATGACCCGTAACATTTATACGTCCGTGGCCGAAGCCTTTGACCAATTGCCTTCAACATTATGCCTTTAATCCAAAAAGCTTCCTAATCCAAATCCAAACGCTCGCGCTAATGCTAAAGGCATACTTCGGCATATGCTAAAAGTGCATTTAAGTGTTGTTGCAGGCGCGTCTTTCATCGACTGCACGACTACCTTTCATGACGCGTTCCTTTGGGAAAACATTGCGCGTGATATATCATTGAACTGCATACTAGATATCACTCAAAAATCATAACAACAGATGGAAGTAGCAAGGTCAGCATAATATATTGTCCAGAATACCAATGTCAGCCCAAATCCCAGCAATCACTGTCCAAATGCAAAATGCTTTAGAAGCTAACGAACACTCCGGCATCTGACGCCTCATACAGGCCCGACCAAAGCCCTGTTCAGACTGACTTCAATGACTGAAATATCGCATAGTCCGTACAAAACAATTCATTATCGAGCGCTGTCACCAACCACAAACATTAACCAAAAATAGTGACGACTACCGGCGCACAACCACGGCACAACTCGGCAGGGTGGCGCCATCTACCGCATACACGAGACAGGAGCTGCCATTTACTTCTGGGCCGCCGACAGCCGACCGGCCACGTCTTTCCAGTTGGCAACCTTGTAGATCGCGTTGACGTAGTCGGGTCGCACGTTCTTGTACTGCAGGTAGTAGGCGTGCTCCCAGACATCAATGCCGAACAGAGGGACCAGACCTGTCGCAAATAAGAGCATCAGACATATATTAGACCCAAACTCGTGAAGGACGGAACATCACACGCCACACTATCACGTCGTCCGCAAAACCAGCCATCGATCAGCCTCTGCCAGCCGGCCGACTCACCGGTGGTGGCCTGCAGCGGGTCCTGGTTGGCGCACGTGGCCACGCGCAGGCGTCCGGTCTCCTTGTCGTAGCCGAGCCAGCCCCATCCGGAGCCCTGGACAGCCACGGTGGCGGCCGACAGGCGCTGCTTCAGTGCCTCGAAACTGCCGAAGTCGCGCTGGATTGCTGCCATCAGCTCGCCTGAAGCAGTAGTGACACACATCGGTGGTCAGGGATCCTCAGCGAGGAAAGGTGTCCATGCAATATGTGACGTTTATGTAGCACGCAATACACGACACATTTTTTATGACGGGACAGGCCGCTGATACCACTGCATGCAGCAAACCTATGCCGTGCTGTACAACATGCACGGGTCAACATAACACAGGCACGACTTTATAGAATATGATCGACATTAGCTACGTCCTCCCCAGTTCACAGTCGGATTACCGGGCCTACCCCTCGGGGCGAGCCCGCCACTGGACCAACTCTCGAGCCCGCCAGTCACTGGACTTACCCTCGGGCTCACCGCTGCCGCCCGGGCAGAGGTTTTGCCAGAAGATCGAGTGATTGATGTGTCCGCCGCCGTTGAACTTCAGAGCTCCTTGCAGGGAAATGATGGTGCTCGTGTCGTCTGCAGGCATTCATAAATGTGATTACATGTGACTGCACCATGCCGATTCACACAAAGTCGTACCTCAAACTCTTTAGTGCCCTGACTCGTACACAGCAGGCAAAAAAGTGAAGGGCGACAGCGCCCAATGCTATCGCGTATCGGGCCAAGATATTCAGTCCTTGGTCCTACGAAGGTGGTCATGAAATCTAGGCAACACTTCCTAGCTGCAAAACAAAAAGCAAACAAAAACAGGAAAGCAAAGTGTAACACACATCACAACATACATAAATTGGACATCGAATGTCTTAAAATTAATATATCTGATTTCACAAAAAAAAGATATTGTCATCAGCGTGTAACATCGGTACCCTAATAAGAACAAAAAGTTTGGCCACATTACCGCACGATTTCGCCCACCAGCCCCCTCCACCACCCGTTCACTGACTTTTGGCGACGGCCTCGGCCAGTTTCTCCTCTGCCACGTTGAGGTTGTTGACGTAGGTCTGGTGGTGTTTCGAGTGGTGCAGCTGCATAATCTCGGCGCTGATGACGGGCTCCAGGGCGCCGTAGTCGTACGGCAGGTCAGGCAGGGTGTGCGCCAGCCGCGTCGCCGGCCACGAGCTGGCCGCACAGCGTGCGGCGCCCAGCCTGGCGGGCAGAGAGGGGTCGGGTCAGGGTGCTGACGCTGAGCGTGTAAGTCACGGTGTTGGATAGGTCAGGGTGATGGACTCGACTGGCCAGGTCAGGGCGCTGGACATCTCAGAGCACTGGACTAGACCAGTCGGGGCAGTGGGCCAGTCGAGTCACTGAGCAGGTTAAAGCTCTGAATAGGTAAGACATTGGGCAACTGTTGGGTATCCCAGCTGATAAGGATGATGGGACCAATGTAGTGTGCTAATGCTGCAAGTACACAGCTCAGGGCATGGGTGCTGTGCAGGTGTTTATCTCCATTTGGGCTCCATTGGATGTCATTGTATACCCACTGAAATCACACAATAATGATGTTAATGCACATAATGACCTAAGGGGCCTGTCCTGTGTTACACTCAGGACCTATAAACCTAGAAATTAGCATTACACTTGCAGCAGGTAGCAGGTAGGTACATTTGAGGGTATTTCAACAAAGAAAGAGCATTAACCAGTCCAGTTATGATTCAATTTATGGATAGAACAGTAAGATAAAAATATCATGTTTCACTGCATTCTTATTGAATGGAGAAATAATTATCTAAGTATCTAATTATTTTCATATTTTGGTGTTATATTATTGAGATTCTAGCAAGTAGCATGGTAGGTGTAGTAAATATAAAGTGGGTATCAAATTGGGTTAGGTAAAGTTTGATAGTAGGTATTTGTTATGTGAGACATTTTAAAAATTGAGCTGAGTAGGTCAAACTGATTATGCAGCAAATATCTGACATGTAATCACCTGCCATGGCATTGGTTCTGAAGTGGTGGCAGTCAGTGTCACATGTTAAGTGACTCTTCTCTCAATGGCATTTCATTTCTTGTATTGTAGGGGGTTTAAGTGGTTTGTATGGGGTATTGTATGGGGTCTCCTCTTGTCAATTTTGATTTATAGTCAATGAAAATACGCCTTAGTGTTTATCATCCAGACATGTGCATGGATCCATGAAAATTAATCTGGGATCTGATCCCACAGATCCTGATCTCAGATCTGAAGGTATCATATATCAACTCTTTAATTTATCCAGAGATCTATAGGGATCAAAGTTCTGAGTCTTTTTTTTTTTGCTTGAGATCCAGTAAGATCAAAGAACCTTACTCATTTTTGTCAAAACAGAAATAAAAAAATACTCAAATGTAACTCACAGATGTCATTCTGTTTAAGTGATTTTATGTGATTGCGAGAAATAATCCATGGTTTTGTGGCACATATTCATTCACATAGAAACACTTGGAAACCTGGTTTTCAATGTTGAATTTGGTGGAATCCTGTAAGACCATAGATCCAAGATGAATTTTTCATGCCAGATCTGGTGGGATCATAGATCCTAACCTGCACTTTGCTTCAAGATCCACTGAGATCATTGATCCATCACGCGGAACCATGCGTCTGCTATCATCCTTCAATTCCTGAATACAGTTGGGCAAACTAGGCGGCGTGAATCAAAATATGGAGGCATCAAAATATTGATTCTAGTGGGCGGAGCTTTGACCATATATGGGCATAGAATCAATATTTTGATTCAATTTGGGACGTTCCCACCTTCAGACGACCCGTTACGGCGGAAATAACCCCCATGACGGCGAGATTTTTCGCCAAGTCAATACAAAAAACTTCCCCGCTTCAATTTTTCGCTGCATGGCTATCAGCCGTTTGTCGCGCGTACCTTTACGGATGGCATAAAGATTTTGCCGCCATAATTCAACAAAAACGTGCTGTTAAAACTTGCTCTGTTTATCATTAACGACGAGCCTTTGTCATTTTTTCATAATTTTGTCTAAAAGAAAATAAAAAATGCGTTATTTAGTTGTATAATTCATTTATAAGAAATATTCTTTTTCTTTGTATCTAGCCACGATTTCCGGTTCCCGCCATTTCGCGCCGGCGTCGTGGGTGTTTGGATGCAACGTAGTGCTCCCGGTTTTATTTTGTTTAAGCGACCTTTTCTGAAGTGTAAGTAACAATGGATCACATTTTAAGATACTTTGAAGTGTGTTTTTCAATTTCAGGCATGTGATCTTAACGTTTCTTACCGAAAACTCGTTTTAAGAGATGGTTTTAGGAACATGGCGCGGTAGCGACGTCAGCGGCGCGGGACGCCTTCTCACTTTTCTGTTGTCTTTTTAAGCTATATTTTTTTGAAAATGATGTCTTAGGTGTAGTATTTCAGTGAAATATGATGTCCTTTAAAAGTTACGGTATAAATTAGTTACAAGAAGCCTAATGTTTTGTCTCACATGATAGAATTGTTGGGTGGACTCATGAAATGGGGGCAGTGCATGTCCAGTATTTTACATAATTTGGATGTTTTAGCCTCTGCTTGTGTCTCACTCACCCAATTGTTGCTACAACTTTAATTTGTAAGTGCAACAAAAGCAAGTTGCTGAATGGTGTAAGCCATATTTACATTATGCGTGATCTTCAAGAAAATTATGTGTCTAATGTACGTCAGTCCAGGGAATGCTGGATAGTTAATTTTCAGGATTGTCCATGCCAAAGTTAATTTTAGAGGCCAGTTTTATCAACACAAATAGTTGCATGCTGGAATTTTTTGCCTAAAGACTGCTTCACATATGGAGCGTTACATGATGGGCACGTAAACGGATAGGGCTGTACCGTTCATGCTCTGTATGTGAAGTAACTTTAAGACAAAAAAAAATCCGGCAGCCACCTATTTTTCTGTTGGTACAACTGGCCTCAGATCTACTTTTTTGGCAGAATTTATATAACTGCATGAGATGACAGTTGTTGGCGCACCTGGTGACGTTCAGTGGAAATTTAAGTGACATTAAGTATTTAATTTTTTATTGAATATATTCTAAAATTAATAGTTGCTGAACGAATAGAATAATAACACATATAGTTTCCCAATTTATTGTCCACAAATGTCCTAATTATTGTGTTCTGTTCTGTTGTTTGCTGCAGGTCAACCAAGGCTCAAACACTGGTCGTTGCGGGGATCAGCTTCAGAGGGTCAAGGATGGCGTCTTGAATCGCTGTTCAGTCGACAGGCAACTGTATGACAACGCCATCCCTGTCAACCAGAGCGTCGACCGAAGAAGGGCGGCGTTGCGCGGACCTGGCCGCACCCGACCAACCGGTGGAGTACCTGACTCGGGCTGGGCGGAGACTACCTACATCACGACCTTTTGAACTTTGATCTCGTAGCGAGAAACAATATGACGTAAGGAAGTGTGTATGTGGCTGGCGGGGCCGAGGGTGAAATGCGCCACGTGTTTATCCTGCCGGATGACGACAGCGTCACCAACCTGTCAAAGAACGAGCTGGTGCAGCGCGTGATGACTGCTATCTCGTCCCTAGAACCGGAGTAGAAAAACGTGCGCATAGCCCAAATGAAGCGAACCAAAACACAGACAGGACTGATAGCTTTTCGGTCGAGAATGTTCTGAAGATGCTGATCAGTAGACCAATTGGTGACCGTTTTCGGTGGTAATATGGGATCTTGTGGTGTTCCAAAGCGACCTGCTTTGGGTGTGGACATAAGTGGCTCAACCTGACAGGATTGATGTTTTAGGTAGCCGTGCTAATCATAAACCCTATATTGAGTGTATCTGTACAAATTTTGTTTATATTTATTTCATGTATTTGATTCGAAACCGAAAATTGCTCTTTGTAATTAGGCAACATCGAGACGTTGAGGTCATTCTCCAGACGTTTATTTGTTTTTCTTACCTGTCCACGGTATGTCTTATTGGTTAGGTCTCAGTTTCAAATATTATTAACTGCATGTTTTGCAAATACGTAGCCATATTGAATAAGAGACGTGTCCTAAAAGTGAGTATTGCTTTGCATGGGATGTGAGCATCAACGACAGGGCTTTGTGATGGCAAACGTGTGGCAATTGCAGGGATCTTTGTGAAATGTGTTATGAATATCATCGTATTATTTGCGAATGCAAATACATCCGTGTATCATATTTTCATTCAAATTGTGCAATTTGTGCAACGGGCTTGAGTATATTGTTCGGCGAAATATCTCTTACTGTACTCCACAGAAATGGGACGGGACACAGATGCGTAGAAACACATTCATGAACACGTGAAAGACGATAAGTTAACTTTTTTTTACTCAAAATCAATGCTACAAAGCAGGGATGTGGAGCCGTGAAAATGTCAGACGGCTTCGGCTCCGGAGGAAAAAATCAGCTCCAGCTCCGGCTCCGGCTCCGAGTAAAATGGTCGGGCTTCGGTTCCGGCTCCGACTCAGTACAACCCCTATACAAAGGTCAGCACGGCTCCCTTCACGCATTCCCTCGAAGGCTTGCAGCTTTGAGCAGGGAGCTAGGGTGAGTGCTGAAAATCCCTGGTCTACCGTGGGAATAAGGTCTAGAAAAAAATTACACGATCCTGTGCTGATAATATCTTCATGAATTTATTGAATTTGCATTATTTGCACACAAGAAACGTTCCATAAATCAATTTGAAGAGTGAAGTACATCTGCAGAAAGTCAGTTCGCAGAATCAATATATTGATAGACCAGCTGATTTCAGAATCAAAATAATGATTAGCCAGCTGTTTGCGGAATCAAAATATTGATTCTCGCCGGGATTAGCCGCCGTGATGAATCAATATCTTGATTATTTTCAAGACGCTTTCCTAAACTAACCTAAGAGGTTAGGGCTATTGTTTCGTGCCTGGCGGGTAGCTTCAACGTTGCTCTTCATTTTGTGAAGAAACTATCTTGAAATTGTAGCCGGTTGCTGAAGAATTGACGTTTCTGTGATGGTCTGCACGTATGCCCATATATGGTCAAAGCTCCGCCCACTAGAATCAATATTTTGATGCCTCCATATTTTGATTCCCGCCGCCTAGTTTGCCCAACTGAATACAAAAAGAGTATTAAATCTTTGGCATGGTAAAGTGAAAATTATTACATTATTGCCAATACAATATTCAACTTACAACAATGAGTTACGCCCCGAGATGTCAACTCAAACATACAATTCATATAACCTCATACGACCTACCTAGTGACTGAGGAAAGAGCTCGGTGCATGGCCATTACTTGCTGTCTTGTGCGTCCCCAACTTATGAGGAATGGTCCACCCAAATTTAACTTCTAGAGTTCAAATGAAATCAAGCGAAGACGAAAATGAGAAAAGAATGGTCTCAACGCCACAGCCGGGTGAAGCGCAGTCGCCCTCTGTAGCCTTGCGTAATCGACTCAAACAGTCTTGAGGATGTGTTCAATTCAATCGTTGGTAGGCATTAGTCCTGCTCAAGGTCGATGAAGCTGAGGCGTTTTTGCCTGAGTCTTCATCATTAAAACGTCACAAAAGCATTTTGATTTGACAAGAAAAGATTTTCGAAAAAGACGTTTACCTACATAGAACGATTGCACTTTTACCTCAGTCTGGATGACATTGAAAAAAGTGTTTTCATTATTAATTAGTTGACTTTACTTTCGAACACATGAGTATGTCTTATCTGCGCAGTATATGCAACAGAATAAATCAGCTGACTTTTCAGTTATTGGAGTGGTCAGCTACTAAATTGTTGCTAGGTATCAAAACAATACATAGCCTGTGTGGCTTCAGTTTTTGCATACCATTTGTAGCACAAGGACGAACCATACTGTTACCACCGCTACCGCTACTGCTACTGCTGCTAGTAGTGGTAGTGACCGGGTCGTATCGGGCCAGATTGAGCCGCTTGTTTTTGTTGTGCACAAATTAACTCGCTTGCTCGCTTCGCTCGTTCATCAAATAGGTACCGATTACCGTGCGTTTTATACACACTTCTTAGGCAAAAACGTTATTTTGCCCAAGATTCTTCAAGATTTTGCCTACCAATTTCCTACATTTTCGTAGATCCAAGACCGTCACAGAGGGGCTCGTCTGCAGGGGGACAAACCCACTGTGCCCAACCCCCCTCCTTCGAAAGGTTCTGGATTCGCCCCTGTCTGGGCTGACCCCGGGCCTCAGGTGGCCCGGGGCGGGGGGCCCCTGCCGAGACCAGGTGGCCCCCTCCTGGGCGAAATCCTAGGTACGAGCTGGAGTCTGACCTACTGTTAGTTGTTACTATAGAGGCCAGTGGCGTTGACGCGGCTCCTTGACTTGGACCGGAGCTGGAGCCGGCTTATTCGTAACGAATGAAACGGAGATAAATAAAATTCTTATTTGTCAATGTTGCAAAAATAATTGATAGGCTCAAATACCCCAAAAATTCAAATAGGCCACGGATCATGATCGTGGATTCGGATAATGTTGTCTTGAATGGACCTACGCTACCTACATAGGTCCAAGGTCCTACATCTACATTCACGTGAGGTCTTATTTGTGTACCGTCGAACTGACCAGCATCAAAATTCTTTTGTAGGTCTGTTTCTGTTTACATGGCTTCCTTATTGCGAATGACCGCTGCAAATAGTCATTTCTTAAATAATATCCTTGGGTGTTTATTTTGTACCTACAGTCTACACCCAAGGACTCCTCGACTGGGAGGACGTATCCCCCCGTCCCCCCCGCTTTCGACGCCCATGACTATTATGTATGTAACTGTTGATGTTTTTGGCAATGCCGAAATGTTGGTATAGGTGATGCGTGTATCCTTCAGAAGAACGTGTCTTTATCAGTGTGAATAAAAGGTGTTTTTATCACACTGGAACCCATCACAGGGCCAGGCCGCTTCAAGCCTGACAACTGAGTGACAGTTGTTCTGCCACGGACAAATCTCTCCTTTCAGTCTCTGTGCCACCAAAGCATGAAATCAGACGTTATTTTCTGTTCTAGAGGGCAGCCGACAGATCGGTTTCAGAATGACAATGGATTCGGAGCCGTGACCATGTGAATAACGTCGACAGACCCATCCAATTGTGGAAACGCCACCCGGAGAATGTCAGCCGGCATTGTGTGCGGGGGCGTCAGCATTGTCCGACGACTGGTGCTTCTCGGCCGACCAGGCGCGGCTCGATCGTTCAGCGCTCACTGAACAAGAACAGGCGGCCGGCGGGGTTTTCACCAGGGGCGTCCTCTTTGAATACAGCGCTGACACAACGTGTCGCGCGCCACTCTAATTGGTGGTTACGGGACACCATGCGCATTGGCGCGCCGAAAGGAAAAGTGGCCGTGGTAGGCGCATGCGTGCCGCGTGCCGCCCGGGTGTCTGAGAGCGTGCCGCAGGCCTGTCGCGATCACTGTCTGGCGCGAGCTGGTGCGCTGCAGGCACGGAGAGGAGCCCGGAGGTAACCGGTCGCGGAGCCTGGTGTGTGGGGACGATACTCCGTACTCAGAAGTGCTGTTGATAAACACAGTGACGGTGATGTGATCGTATGACCGGGCGAACACAGGACATCGTATAGTTATCAGTGTTGGAGACATGAGGCCGGCACCAGTCATTGTGCTCGCCGCTGCCCTGGCGGTGATGGTGACGGGAGAGTCAAAGGTACGATGCTCAATGACGTTAGTCATTTCATCGCATTATTACTCAAATGATTCACAAACATTTAATAGCTAAGTGTCCGTCGCTTTTGTGAAGATCTTGATTGTGGAAGGCCGATTGTCGTCCCTAAACAAAACAACCACTTCATATGAACAACATGACAATACGCGTGGTGAAAACCACTGATGTCGGCGAACAACTCGGTCAAGTTATCCTTGAACGACCTGGGTCCTAAATTTTCACATATGCAGAAACGATGCATCAATAAGTGTGCAAAACGTAGGTATATTTCGGATTTTCGATGTCGGTGACCGAAGGTCGGATGAATTGTGAATTTTGTAGCTTCATCATTATAATGGCAAACTGAGCGTAAGTTTTTTGTGGAAATCCCTTATAAACACTCTAAAACTGGAACAGTTTATCATTGAATGCATATTGCATGTTGAACCGGAAAATTGCACCCATGACTGACACCATCTTAGACACCTAAGGTCACCGTAAGCCGTGAGAGGTAACAGTAAAGCTGTTTTCAATTTATACTTTTGACAGAGATATTCTGAATCGATTTAAATTTGTTCAGAGTGATGATATAGATCGAACGGTACACATACGTCATACAACCCTTTCTGGTCATGTCATGACCTTGGGCCAAATTTTCAAATTGATGTTTTTTAAATCAAGTGATGGTTCATTCGACGCGTCTCGACAAAATGAACGGGATGCGGATAAATCAACTTAGAACATGCACGGTGTTGAAAGCTATTGCATATTTTTTTACCGGGATATCGTCAGTTTTGAAAGTATTTGCCCTCTGGAGGCTATACTTTAGGTGAAATCTGAATACATTAATCAGCAAGACTATTAATGGGGCTATCGAATCCCATTTTCCGCGGCGCTGTAGCTCGATTCGTTCCCGACAGTTATGCGTCGCAATGTCAAAAATATCGACATAGGCGCAATTTGATCTTTAATGGCCTCTGATGGGGAGACCCTCACCCTTAACCGCACCTAAAAAATTGTTTGACTTTCTTCTTAATTATTTTTGGCGCTCTCGCCAAGCCCCTTAACCCGCGACCTGGTGGGGGGGCTATTTTTTGCCCCCCCCCTCCAGACTTTTCGATATATCTCCAGAACCGCTGCGCCGATCGTCACCAAACTTTCAGTACCCTCCCCGACATCAATTTTACACATTGTGACGAAAAATTTTTCCACAGGCTATGATAGGTTGGCCGGAAATGACGTCAGAGTGACGTCATGTTCTGCCGTTTTCGACCCAAAAAAGGGTTTCGCGGGAAGAGCTGTCAGGCCTATAGAGTTGCAAATACAGAAAAATGATAAAGACATAAAAGCTGTAGATTGAACACGGCTACGAAACTGCTATCTCGGATTTTTGAAATTTTTGGATTTTGACCCCCAAAAATCAAAAAATAGATTTTTTGGATATAATAATCGAAACATCCAAAAAAAATTTTGAATTTCGCAAAAACCGGAATATATGTGATAGTACTTACCGCCTTCCATCCACATACCAAATTTGAGATTGATACCTCTTTTTTGGCGAAGTTATAGCGAAAAAACTGTTCAAAATTGATGACGTCAAATTTTCAAACTCAATTTTTAGCAATTCTAGACCCAGTAGCGCAAAACAAAGACCACCATTAAACTCCCCGTGACGAGCTGCATCGAATCAATACCCATTTTATGCAAAACTATCAACTTTAAAATTTGACCCTTTTTTGCCTGACCTTGACCTGACCTTGACCTGAACTTCACCAGAAAGTGACCTAAGCCGTACCTGATAGTCTTATAACCAACACCTCAAGAAATGAAAAATTGGCCATAAAACATGTATCACACAACCTTAGTAAAGTTGGGCTCATGTGACCTGACCTGTGACCCTTGGTGACCTGACCTGTGACCTGACCTGGTATTGCCAGTGACCTCTAATAGCAACATATCTACTAGGCAACTGACGCCCTACCGCTGATTCTCGACAAAATGCGTTTTCGTCGGTGTTATAGCGCATTCCCTAGAAGACCCGTGAACGGTGAAACATTTCATCTTTGACCTGACCTGTGACGTCATCGGTGACCCCGAGGTCAATGAAATTTGGTTTCCTTCGACAAATGTGACAGGCCTTTCGAACGCCGTTTGAATTTTGCGGATCCGTCCAGTAGTTTCGGAGATACGAGGGGGGCAAAAAATAGCCCCCCCCCCACCAGGTCGCGTTATAAACAGACCCCACCAGGGCGCGGGTTAACGTGTGTCGCTACGTGGTCCAGGAGCCGAGTTAAACAGGGGGTGTTCAACCCCACCAAGACCCGGCAAGGGTTAAAATCTGCATAGGCTTCCTCTTGTCATGTGCAGCACGCTCGTTTTTTTTTACGAAGCATTAGCTCTATCAGGAACCGATGGATTGAGTTGAGGGTCAGGTCGATCATTCTCTGTCCTCGACCGTTGGGGCCTGTAAAAACGCCTAGTGCCCTATGCGTTTAGGTGAGCTGAAATTACTGCTGTGTTTTAGTACGGAGCAGCCGAGAGCACTTCCGGCACCGGCGTGTTTAATCTCTCACGGTTGGTTAGTTCTTAGTCGGTTCTCGGCGGTTACGACCAGACTGCCCAACGCTACAATGAATATGGCCCGTGACAGCTGACGAGCCTCAGCTGTTGATAACACTTTTTCTATGTTGTTAAATCATTCATAACAATAATTTCTTAGGCTATTTCCCATGCAGATAACTGAGCTATTCTGTAGCAGTTTTAAGTCTTCACTCGGAAGCGTTACCCGCTCATGACTGGAGCATACATACTATAAGTATTCGATAAAGCGAGCGACTGACGGGAGGGGTTTTACAGAGCCCTCCGC